TGAAGCCCTCAGGGTTAATACATAATTCTGAATCAAGAAAGGAATTTTTTCGTAGAGTTTTAAATTTTGCATATATTTAATGACAGGTTAGGTAGAATTTTATTTTTTTGTGCTTATTGTGGAATAAAGACTTTTTTTGTATTCAAAATCACAGTGATTTAATAAATATAGCTTTGCTATAGTAATACCTTAACAGTTGTTTTTCTTGTTGGACCCTTGCCATGGCTTCAGGTTTATGTTTTGAGGATCCAGGTGATACTTTTTTGTTGTTAAGTCTTTATACTCAAGATTACTCAGTAAAATAATGTGCTAGGAAGAAAGTGGTTGTAGCAGCATGACTATATACTCTCAGTGCCTAAATGGAGATACAAGCATAAAAAGAAGTGTGGAAATAATTGATAAATATCGCTGCAAAATAAAATATTATCAAACAAAATAAATAATTGTGGCTTTAGGCAATTCAGTAAATGACAAAACACCTGTTGCAAGAGTGCTTCGTTTACTCTCTTCTGTACAATGCACAGGAGCCTTCAGCATCTTTATATCTGTATTTTCTCAAAATCTGACCTTTTCCACTCCACCCAGAATATGATGGCCTAGAGGGTTTGTGCATCTGCATGCTGTGGAATGGCTCTGCCACAACTGGCAGGGGGACCCACTGTCTCGTGGGCAGTGCAAATTCTCATATGTGTCCATTCTCACCTGAGACCAGGTAGCTAGCTACCCCTAGTGTAATGCCAGTGTCCAAGTGTGCTGTATTGTATACAGAAAGAGCTGTGTTGTCTGTCTGGCTCTCAGACTGAACCAGAAGTTAAAGAGGGCTGAGGCAGTGGCAGGAGGTGGAAATGTATAGTGAAAGTCCAGCAAGCTCCTCTCATCCTGCCTTAATGCAATTTTACATGATAATATGTTGTTAAAAATGGAAGATCTCAGACAAATGTTAAGTTGTGAGATACACTGGACAGTCCTGGGTGATTTGGTCTGCGTAGTCACTTCACTGTGGACCACTTGCGTTCTGAGTCTGGCTCTGGTTTCTAGTGAAGTGTATTTACAATTTGGCTAAAGTTCAAACCTAATGTATATATGTTAGGATTATTTTTTGAATTAATAATTGTGCTAATAACAAGGCTATTATAAAATTCTTGAAAATTGAGGTCATAAATTACTTGTTTTTTAAAATCAGTTTTATTGGTGTTATAATTAAACATGATAGTGGGATAGTTGTGACATATTCATACACACATATTTGATTGGTTTTATGCCGAGCTGCCTCCCCTTGCCCTTTCCTCACACCTCCCCAGTCCTCTTCCTCTATGGGCCTCCCTTCTGTTTTCATGAGATTCTCCCCGCCTTTCATACATTTTTTTTCTCTAGCTTCTACATTTGAGAGAAAACATACAATTCTTAACTTTCTGAGTTTGGCCTATTTTGCTTAACACAGTGTTCTCAAGTTCTGTCCACTTGCCTGCAAATGCCACATTTCATTATTTTTTGACTGAATAAAACTTCATTGTGTGCATATACTTCATTTCCTTTGTTCATTCATCTGTGGACAGTCATCTAGGCTGGTTCCATGACTTGGCTATTGTGGATCATGCTGCATTAAACATAGTATGCTGATTTTAAAATTCTTTTTTTTTTTTTAATAAATGGATTTTTTTTTCCTTTTTTTGATATGGGGGATTGTACCCAGAGGCACTTACCCAGTTACATCCTCAGCTCTTTTCATTTTATTTTGAGAGACAGTCTTTCTAAATTGCCTAGGCTGGCCTCAAATTTGAAATCTTCCTGTCTCAGCCTCCTGAGTATAGAATTGGAGGTGTGTGCCACTGCACTCTGCTTACTTAACATTTTTTGTAATATGTACTGAGGAGTGGCAGGGCTGGGTCATCTGGTGGTTTCATTTCTAGTCTTTTGAGGAACCGCGTACTGATTTCCATAGTGGTTGTACTAATTCAGGGTCCACCAGCAGTGACTAAGTGTGCCTTTCCCCTCTCATCTTTACCTGCAGTTATTATTTGTATTCTGGATTTTTGCCATTCAGACTGAAGTGAGATGAAATCTCACTGTAGGTTTGATTTACATTTCCCTTATTGCTAAAGATATTAAACATTTTGGGGCTAGAGTTGTAGCTCCCTGGTAGAGCACTTGCCTGGCAAGCATGAGGCCCTGGGTTCGATCCTCAGCACCACATAAAAATAAATAAATAAAAGTACTGTGTCCAACTACAACTTTAAAAAAAATAAATAAAACCTCACAGTGTGCCATGTAATTTAAATCGTCTTCACCTCATCTGAAATGTGGAGAACTAATCTCAGGAGTTCTTTTTAGTCTCATTATGAACTGAATCTAGGACTTAAGGTTTCTTTCTTTCTTTTTTTTTTTCTTTTTGCCACTGGGGATTGAACTGGGGGGTGGGGGGGGGACACTCAACCACTGAGCTATATACCCAGCTCTGTTTTGTATGTTGTTTAGAGACAGAATGTCATTGAGTTGCTTAGTGCCTTGCTTTTGCTGAGACTGGCTTTGAACTCCTGATCCTCCTGCCTCAGCCTCCTGAGTCTCTGGTCACCATGCCCATCTAGGACTTAAGGTTTCTGACATCCTGTTTTGAACAAATTTTAGATGAGCAGCCCTTAATTTAGGAAATTTTAAATGAACAGAAATACTGGCAGATACATCATTGTTTTGATCTTATTAATAATATTGGAACTTTTTTTTGTTCTGTGATTTAAGTTAATAGTTACTTTTCTCTCCTTCCTTCCTTCCTTCCTTTCTCCTTCCTTCCAGGGGCACTTTACCACTGAGCTACATGCCAACCCTCCCCACCCTTATTTTGCTCTAGCTTCCCCTTGTGACCAGAAAACATATGACCCTTGATTTTTTTCTAGTCTGGCTTATTTCACTTAGCATAGTATTCTCTATTTCCATTCATTTACTGGCAAATGCCGTGATTTCATTCTTTATGATGGACTAAAACTTTATTGTGTATTTATACCACAGTTTCTAAATTCTTTCATCTATTGATGGGCATCTGGGTTGAAGCCATAATTCAGCTATTGTGAATTGTGCTGCTATAAAAATTGATGTTCTATGCAGGTGTGGTGGTGCACAACTGTAATCCCAGAGACTAGGTAGGATGAGTTAGGAAGATTACAAGTTGAGGCCAACTTCAGCAATTTAGTGAGACACTGTCTTAAAATAAAACATAGAAAGGACTGGGTATATGGCTTAGTGGTTAAGTGTCCCTGGTACTGAAAGAAACAAAAATTGATGTTCCTGTATCACCATAGTATGGTAATTTTAGTTCTTTTGGATAGGATAATAGGATAAATAGGATAGTTGGGTCACATTACCATGATTCCATTCTTTTTTTTTTTTTTTAAAAAGCTCAGTTTTAAGAGAGAGTGAGAGAGAGAGAATTTTTAATATTTATTTTTCAGTTCTCGGCGGACACAACATCTTTGTTGGTATGTGGTGCTGAGGATAGAACCCGGGTCGCACGCATACCAGGCGAGCGTGCTACCGCTTGAGCCACATCCCCAGCCCAATGATTCCATTCTTAAGTCTTTTATTTTCTTTTTCTTGGTATCAGGGATTTGAACTCAGGTGCACTTAACCACTGAGCCACACCCCCTGCCCCATTTTGTATTTTATTTAGGTCTCACTGAATTGCTTAGCGCCTCACCATTGCTGAAACTGGCTTTGAACTCGCCATCCTCCTGCCTCAGCCTCTGGAGCCACTGCTCCTAGCTTTTGTTTTTGAACCAGGGATTGAACACAGTGGTGCTGAGGCTGGCTTTGAACTTGTGATCTTCCTGCCTCAGCCTCCCGAGCCTCTGGGATTTTAGGAGTGCGCCATTGTGCCTGGCTCCATTCTTAGTCCTTTGTAGCATTTTCGTATTGCTTTCCAGAGTTGTGGTATTAATTTGTAGTTCACCAGCACTGTATGAGTGTACCTTTTCCCCCCATATCCTTGCCACCACTTATTATTATTTGTATTCTGATAATTGCCTTTCTAACTGGAGTGAGATGAAATTTCCATGCAATTTATATTTGTATTTCCCTGGTTGTTAGAGTTGTTGAACATTTTTTGCATATATTTGTTGGCCATTGTATTTCTTCTTTTGAGAAATATCTGTTTAGTTATTTTGACCATTTATTGATTAGGCTATTTATTTATTTCTGGTGTTAAAAGTTTGGGTTCTGTATATATGGTGGATATTAATTCCCTCTCAGAGGAGTAGCTGGCAAAGATTTTTCTCTTTAGATTTTCTCTTCATGCTCTTTCCTTTGCTGTGCAGAACATTTTAAATTTGATGTTGTCCCACTTATTGATTATTGATTTTATTTCTTGAGCTTTAAATGTCTTGCTAAGGAAATCAGTGCTTGTGCCAATGTATTGGAGTGTTGACCCTATGTTTTATTCAGAAAGTTGCAGTTTCTGGTCTAATTCCTAGGTCTTTGATAACACTTTGAGTTGAATTTTCTGTAGGGTGAGAGATATGGATTTATTTTCATTCTTCTAAATATGGATATTCAGTTTTTCTAGCATCATTTGTTAAAAAGGCTGTCTATTCTCCAACATGTTTTTGGCATCTGACACTTATATTGAGTATCAGATGACTATAACTACATGGGTTTGTCTCTGTGTCTTCTGTTCCATTGGTCTTCATATCTGGTTTGGATGCCAATAACATGGATATGTATTCAAATCTTCCCTTTAAAAGATGGGCTGGGGTTGTAGCAGAGCGCTGGTCTAGCATGTGTGAGTGGCTGGGTTTGATCCTCAGCACTGCATAAAATAAATAAAGTATCTTGTCCTCAAAAAAAAAAAAAAAAGGAAAATAAAAAGAGAAAAGAAAAATTAAATTGGCAATTCATTGTCCTAAGAAAACAGTTCTGTGTGTTTTTGGAGCTGATAGTGACCATCCCACCCCCCCTCCTTTTTTAAGTAGCTGTGATTTTCATAATTCAGATGTTTGTGTCAATGTTTGCAGCTGGAGAATGCTGGAGGAGACCTCAAGGATGGCTGCCACCACTACGAAGGAGCTGTTGTCATCTTGGACGCCGGTGCTCAGTATGGGAAAGTTATAGACCGGAGAGTGCGGGAACTCTTCGTGCAGTCTGAAATATTCCCCTTGGAAACACCGGCCTTTGCCATAAAGGAACAAGGATTCCGGTAGACTTTTCATTGATGTTTTTAAGAGGGGTTTGACTTTGTAGGATGGAATATTTTGTTATTAGTTTGCTTGGACACTGAATTTTTTAATGAAAACCATGCAGATTGATTTTACAAGAAATTTCCCATGACTTTGATTTGGGGTAAAAGCAAAGAAAAAATTGTAGATCTTTGTCTAATATAAGGGCCAATTGCAACATCTTGGTACCCTTGTGGTCAGGCAGCATTTGGTTTATATGTGGTTCCTTCCTTCAGTGCCTCACTCTGGTGAGTGCTGTGCCTTTTCTTATGGCATGCTCACCTTTCTTGGTCAAGAGTCTTCCAGAAGCAGGCGGCTGCAGTTCTTGCCTGTAACTGTCCATAAATCTAATATTGGAGGTGCTGTGCTTCTCCCCAAATGTGGTTTTTTTTTTTTAAGAGAGAGAGAGAGAGAGAGAATTTTAATATTTATTTTTTAGTTCTCGGCAGACACAACATCTTTGTTTGTATGTGGTGCTGAGGATCGAACCCGGGCCGCACGCATGCCAGGCGAGCGCACTACCGCTTGAGCGGTAAAAAATTAATTTTTTCAAGTGAAAAATGGTTCAAAGAATTTTTGAAGACCTCACCGATATGTATATGCTATCCTGTGAGATTTTTGGTTTCTGAAGTAAAATGAATTGGAAATCAAAAAGGCAGGCTTAAATTTAACTCTATTCTAGTTTTAGGATACAGATTAAAGATGACTCTCTCTGAAATGTATTGTAGGGCAAGAAGGAATCCTTGAATTCATCTAACTTTGTTGTCTTTGATTTACCAGTAAGAATTGAGAAATCAGAAACATTCTGTCAAACCCAGGCATCAATGTTCACCTCATTTGAAACACAGAAAAATACCCGGTTAAATTAACTCAGACTACAAAGGTTTTAAAATATGAAGACCCAAATGCTTGATCACCAAATTCTTAAGCATGCTTCCTAACAGTTGCTAGGTGCAGCTACCCAGCGATGCTCTCTGCAACCGGAGAGGAGCTACAGCACCTTGCCTTTCAGGTCACTGTCATCCTCCTGCTGGCATTGCTCTCTGACTACCCCTTTATACAATAAATGTTAGTTTTGTGGCATGAGAGACATTCTAATTGTTTTAAAGATCTTGATCTGCCTGATATATAGCATTGGTATTTATAATGACTTGTGGCTTGTTGTGCCTTATAATTGCAAGTTAGTTTCAAAATAGAGTAGGAATTGAGAACTCTGAAAGCTCTTCTCAAGATTTATTGAGATAAGACGTTTCATAATTGGTTTAAGTACTGCTTAAGTTTTATCCTGGCTTTAGGCCATCATATTTTTAATTGTACTAAGAATCTTATCTCCTTGAGTTGTTCAGTAAGTTAATGAAGGATCATGGATGGTCCCAGAGTGGAGGTTACCCTTTACAAAACTAAAAAGTAACTTACTAATATTATTGAATGATAAAAATGTTTTATAGAATTTAAGCTTCTATATTTTTAAGGATCTAGGTTACAGATCTACATGTAGGGCTAATCCTACACCCCTTCACATTTATTATCTGAGTAGGTTGTCTTGCACCTCTCTTTTACAGGAAACATTGAATACTATATCTCATGTTACCTACGGAGTTAAGAGAGTGATTTTTGAGCTCCCAAAGATTATTGTTTTTTAATATATATTTGCATGCCCTAGCTTGTTGAGTTGATTTAAAAAAATTAGTTATACTTGGACACAATATCTTTATTTTGTTTGTTTATTTTTATGTGGTGCTGAGGATTGAACCTAGTGCCTCATGTGAGGCAAGCGCTGTGCCACTGAGCCACAACCCCAGCCCACTGAGTTGCTTTTTTATGTTATTTTGAATTATTAGAAGCTTAGCAGTATATTTCATGTCTTTACATGGCTGGCAGCCCCTAGGTAAAGGGTAAATTTTAACCCAGGTTTATGTAGACTTTTGGTTAGATCTTGCAGTTTGTCTTTTTTAGATGAATTGGATGAATTAATTTAATTGAAACTGAATTAGATGAATTGGATTTATCTGCAAACCTGTTGGTACTTTCAGTTTCATACACTGAGCGTGTATGCCTTGGTTGTGAGTCACCATGTATGGCAAACCTTTACAGTGCAGTCTGAAGGAACAAAGCTGCTGTGACTACACTCTTGTAGCTTGGAGGAGTGGGGCCTGGTGTTGTCAGAAATATGAATATTTAAGTGATACTCATTATTAAAATGATTTAATTTTTTTGAGTGAACGTTGAGGGCCAAATAAAAATAAAAATAAGATCAGTGTCCAAGTGAGGAACATAGACCTGAGTTTGTATCTCTTCTTTATTCACAAAGTTCCTCTGCTAAGTAAAACCCAGAGGATGCTCTGCAAGTTGTATTTAGCCCAATTATTATACTGGCCTAAATTCTGAGAGCCCAGAAAATGGGGCAAAATTGATATTAGCGCCCTCTCCTGGATCTCAGGGGAAATTGCTGAGAATATAAAGAAATTGTTTCTACTGGAGTATCCACTGACTCTTCCTTAAATCTGCAGTGCCATTATCATCTCTGGAGGACCTAATTCTGTGTATGCAGAAGATGCTCCCTGGTTTGACCCAGCAATATTCACCATTGGCAAGCCTGTTCTTGGGATTTGCTATGGCATGCAGGTACATCTATAAATTTGCTATGATGTCCACTTATGTTTTATTCTTTTCATGATTTATATTTCTATTTAGTTGGGTTGCATATTACTGCTGTGTATGAATTGCTCTACTAGTGTGATAGAATGGACCTTATAGGGAATCTACAGAAAAGTAACTACCTTTTTTGTGTGTAAATATATTGACATTCACTTTTCTTTAGTAACAAATAGCATAATAAGGGGCTGGGGATGTGGCTCAAGCGGTAGTGCGCTCGCCTAGTGTGCGTGTGGCCCGGGTTCGATCCTCAGCACCACATACAAACGAAGATGTTATGTCCGCCGAGAACTAAGAAAAAATAAATAAATGTTAAAATTCTCTCTCTCTCTCTCTCTCTCTGTCCCCCACCCACTCTCTCTTAAAAAAAATAGCATAATGATGTGAATATGGTGAAATCTTACAGTTAGCTGTGTATGATGATGGCAGGTGCCTATTATTGCAGTGACTTGGGAGGCTGACTCATGATAGTTGTGGTTTCAAAGGCAGCGTCAGAAATTCACTGAGGCCCTAAGCAAATTAGGTAGGACATATCTCAAACTTCTTTTAAAAAAGGACTGGGGATGTCAGTGTTTAAGCACTCCTGAGTTCAATCCTCCGTACAAAAATTAAAATTAAAAATCTATAAAATCTTCAAAAACACAGGTTAAAAATAATCAGGACAAGTCTTCCTCTGAAATAATGGACTGTAAGAATTAGGTTTCCTCCAATTTTCAAAAGTGAAGATACTTAATAGTCTTTGTTTTTTTAATATTCATTCAGAGATGAACTGTCTGCAGTATAAAATGAAATTTGTGAGCATTTCAGACACATTGTCTAGTGATATCTAATGAATTTTAAGCAAAAGTTAAAGGCAGTTAACCAATTTCTATATTTAAATGCCTTCTTTCTCTTAATAATTCTCATATACATCAAGATGTGAGGTCTTGACAAGGACTTTTTAAATTAAGTTTCAAGGTTTTGTCTTTGGTAAATATTTTGCTGTTGTCTAAGGCATATATTTTGGACAAATGCCTTACTACATTTACTTACATGTACGAGGTTTTGGAGGTTGAAGAAAGTTTGAAATTAAGACCTCATAGGAAGAATTAATATTATCAAAATGGCCATGCTACCAAGAGCGTTATACAGATTTAATGAAATTCCAATTAAAATCCCAATGACATTCCTCATAGAAACAGAAAAAGCAATCATGAAATTCATTTGGAAAAATAAGAGACCCAGGATAGCCAGAGCAATCCTCAGCAAGAAAAGTGAAGCAGGAAGCATCACTATACCAGACCTTAAACTATACTACAGAGCTATAGTAACAAAAACAGCATGGTATTGGCACCAAAATAGACTTATAGATCAATGGTACAAAATTGAAGACAAAGAGACAAACCCACGTAAATAGTTATACTAGACAAAGGCATTGAAAACATACATTGGAGAAATTCAACAAATGGTGATGGGAAAACTGGAAATCCTTATGCAACAAAACTAAATTAAACCCTTATCTCTCACCATGCACAAAACTCAACTCGGAGTATACCAAGGACTAGGCATTAGACTAGAGACCCTGCTCCTAATAGAAGAAAAAAGTAGGCCCAAATCTTCATCATGTTGTTTTGGGCCTGACTTCCTTTATCAGACTCCTTAAGAAATAAAATCAAGAATTATTAAGTGGGATGGATTCAAACTAAAAAGCTTCTTCTCAGTAAAGGAAACAATATCGTGGAATTTGGATATGAATTCTCTGGTGTTTAGTAATGTTTCAGCATTGGCGTAAAGCTTTGTGACATTTTTTTCCGCTTGTATCATCTTTCACCAGTATGAATTCTCAGGTGTTGAGTAAGGTGTAAAAAGCTGTTGGAGACTTTGTCACTTTTTGAGACTTTTTTTTACATTGGTATAATTTCTGTCTGCTATGATTCCTCTCATGTGGAATAGGGTTGAACCATCCTTAAATGTGTTGGCATGATGTTCTCATTTGTAGAGCTTGTTTTCCCTACAAATTCTCTGATTCATAAGTCATGATCTTTGAAGTTTTGCAACATTTTTCACATACCAGTCCTTGTAACAGGCATTTCATTTTTTAAAATGAGAGTTCTGTGCCACATTTTTGCCAACATTTGGTGTGATGTAAAGTGTTCTAGATTTGGGCCTTTATATAGCGTGCTTTAAGTTTATACAGTATATGTTTACCAGGTAAGTTCAGTGTCATTGGTTAGGATGATAGAAAAATAATAATGAGTCAGTAACATGTGAAATTCTCACTTAACAGAGATGATATCGATCAAGATTTATTTACAAAGAGGATAGGAATATAAATTGATAATTTTACAAAAAGTTATTACTGGTGATTATAAGAAAAACGGTTATCTACCTAAGAAAACTTAACAATGTATCTTACTTCATTAGATCATCTGAAAATTGAGTTAGCTAGGAAACTAGTCTCTAAGTAATTTATTATTAATTGACATGTTACAGTTACATGTTTTGCCTTTTTCAAAAAGTCAGAAGCAAGATTTATTTTTTAGTTTTAGTTGAACACAATACATTTTATTTATTTATTTATTAGGCAGTGAGCTGAGGATCAAACCCAGGGCCTCACACATGCTAGGCTCTACTGCTGAGCCACAACCCCAGTCCATATTTTTATTTTTGGTACCAGGGATTGATCCCAGGAGTGTTTAACCACTAAGCCTTTTTTAATATTTTATTTAAAGACAGGGTCTTACTGAGTTGCTTAGGGCCTCGCTAAATTGCTGAATCATCTTCTAGCCAATAAATATTTTATAGTAAATATTTAGTATCCTCTGCCTTGTTTTTGGTAATATGGGAAAAATCAATCTAGGGGTGCCCAGCCCTTTTTTAAAAAAAGATTGCAACAGGGTCTCCCTAGGTTGCCTTGAGCTTGCCATCCTTGTGTCTCATTCCTATGTGCCACTGTGTACCCGCTATTTTTTTTTTTTTCTAATTTAATGTTCTCTGAAAAGTCCATCTGTAGTCTTAGAAGAGTTTGCATCCTGATTAAGTTGAATATTGGAAATTGGCTGTTTTCTTTCTGTATGCCTTTGTCCCACCCAGCTTGTGATGTATTGATCTCGGGTCCCGAGTGGTCCACTTTAACTATGTAGTACAACTTGATAATTAAAGTGGGATGGCTGCTGGAATGTTGGGAGGGTTATAACATTATATAAGGGGGGCATTCATGAGGCTTTTAAAAAAAAATCTGCTTGTTATGAAATCTGTGTAGATCATTGGATCCCTTAATGTAAGCGACAGTGGCTTAGTACTTCCCCCTTACATCAATTTTCTGTATAATTACAAGACCAGATTTTTCTGTCATGGTGAGAGAAGCCAGGCCTGCTGATGTTAAATGTGTAAAAAAATGTTGTCTTGGGCTGGGGATGTGGCTCAAGTGGTAATGTGCTCGCCTGGCATGGGTGCGGCCCGGGTTCAATCCTCAGCACTACATACCAACAAAAGATGTTGTGTCCACCGAGAACTAAAAAATAAATATTAAAAAAAAATTTCTCTCTCTCTCTCTCTCTCTCTCTCTCTCT